ATAAGTATTAAATGCTTAGCTTATCACTGTCTGCTTTTATGCTGTCTTAAATCCAGTAAAATATGGCAGCTTTCTTGCAATATAGCTTCATTTCCTCTCCCCCTTTTATACTATCAATTTCATACATTAGATTTATATGTCATAAACCTAACAATATTATGATGTAATTATTGCTTTATACAATTATATGCTCTTTAAAAACAATTAAGTGAATTAAGCCTTTCACAAAAGGACAAATATTGTATAATTCCGATTATATGAGCTTCCTATAGTAGATTCATAGAGACGGAATGTAGAATTGTGGTTGCCAGTGTCTGGGTAGAGGGTAGAACAGTGAGTTACTGTTTAATGATACAGAGTTTCAGTTGAAGAAGATGGAAAAGATCTGGAGATAGATGGTGGTGATGGTTAAACAATAATGTGCATGTACTTAATGCCACAGAATTGCACACTTAAAAATGGCTAAAACTGAGAGGGGGGAGGGGGGAAAAGTTTAAAACTGTACATTTTATGTTAAGTACATTTTACCAGAATTAAAAATATCTCAGGCCAGGCTTGGTGGCTCAGCCTGTAATCCCAGCACTTTGGGAGGCCGAGGTGAGTGGATTGCCTGAGCCCGTGCGTTCAAAACCAGCTCAGGCAACGTGGTGACACCTCGTCTCTACAATAAATTAAAAAATTAGCTGAACGCGGTAGCACATCTGTAGTTCCAACTACTTGGAAGGCTGAGGCAGAAGGATCGCCAGAGTCCAGGAGGTCGATGCTGGGGTGGCCGTGAGTGTGTCCCTGCACTCCATCCTGGGGCACAGAGTGAGACTCCAATTCAAAAGAAAAAAAAATCTCAAAAAAAAATTTTTTTTTTTTTTTTGGAATCGGAGTCTCACGCTGTATACCCCAGGCCAGAGTGCAGTGGCATGCTCACTGCCACCACAGCCTTCACATGCAGGGGTTCAGGTGATCCTTCTACCTCAGCCTTCCAAGTAGCTGGAACTACAGATGCATGCTACCACACTCAACTTATTTTTTTATATATTGTAGACACAAGGTCTCACCAAGTTGCCCAGGCTGGTCTCGAACCTCTGAGCTCAGGCAATCCTCTCTCCTCAGCCTTCCAAAGTGCTGGGATTACAGGTTTGAGCGACTGCACCCAGCCTTGCTTTACTATTTCTAATTGGATAGGACTACTTGAGAATGAATGTCTTTATATTGACTTCAATTTTGAAGAATAATTTTTCTGGACATCAACATCTTAGTTGTCAGGTATTGCACTCTGAATGTTAATCTGGCTGCCTCTGACCTCCTTTGTTACTGAGAAGTCACCTGTTATTTGTTGTATTGTTTCTCTGTAGCTGATGAGTAATTTTCTCTTCCTGCTTTCAGATTTTATGTATCAGCAGTGTGCCTGTGGTGTATCTTGATTTGTATCTCTGTTTATTCTACTTGGGATGTATTGAGCTTCCTGGACCTGTAAATTAATATTGCATTAATTTGGGGATGTTTTCAGCCATTATTTCTTCAAACATTTTTTTCTGTACCTTTCTCTCACTCTTTTCCTTCTGGGAGTTCCAGTACATGTAATTTAATATACTTGATGTCTCACGGATCTCTGAAACTTGGCTTATTTTTTTTAAATCTTTTTTCTTTCTGTTCTTTAGATTGGATAAGTTCTATTGTCTTTTTTCAAGTTCATTGTTTCTTCTGCTATTTCAAATTTGCATCTTAGCCTTTATAGTTTATTTTAAATTTTCAGTTATTATACTATTGAACCGTAGACTTTCTATTTCATTTTTAAAGTTTCTGTTTCCCTATTGAGATTCCTATTCATTGAGTTATTTCATAATATTTTCTTTAATTCTTTGAACATATATATAGTAGTAGCTTTAGTTTTTGTCTGCTAAATTCAATGTCTACACCCTTAGTCAGTTTCTAGCAACATCTTTATTCTTAGAATGGGTCACAAGTCCTTATTTTTTTGCATATCCCATAATTTATTATAATATTTTATAAATATCTGGGTTATGATTTTCTTTTTTTCCAAGGGTTGTTGGGATTTTTGTTCTTTTTGTTTTTTTTGTTTATTTGTTTTTTGGTAATTGGCCTGGATTTAAACTACAGATACTGTCTCCTTTAGTAGCTCTACTTAGGGATTTTTTTTCTTTTTCTTTTTCTTTTCCTTTTCATTTTTTTAATCTTAGCTTCCTGGGGATTGCTTCTGAGTCTGCATAGCTTGGCAGTCAGCCAACAATTTGGGCAGTGGTTGTTCCCAAATACCTTGATTTGTAAGATGTCCACTCTGACAATTGACCTGTGTGTAGGTTGTGGAATTTATTCAAGGTTTATCCAGTTCTCAAGACTACCTTGGTTTTCACTTTTTTATTTTCTATTTTTTGAGTCAGAGTGTCATTCTGTCGCCCAAGCTGGAGCGTAGTGGCATACTCATAGACACTGCAGCCTTGACTTGCTGGGCTCAGGTGATCCTTCTTGAGGATCAGCCTTCCAAGTAGCTGGACCTACAGGTGTGCACTACCATGCCTGGATAATTTTTTTATTTATTGTAGAGATGAGGTCTCACCATGTTGCCCAGGCTTGTCTCAAACCCTTGGGCTCAGACAGTCCTCTCGCTTCCACCTCCCAAATTTCCTGGCCAAAAATTCTTTAAATATTCTAGATACTAGTCCTTTATCACATATGTGCATTGCCAATATTTTTGCCCAGGCTGTGGCTTGCCTTTTCATCTACTTTACATGTGTTTTGAGAACAAAACTGTAAAACTTTTATGAAATATGATTTATTGCTTTTTTACCTTTATTGATTGTACTTTTGGTGTAATAGCTAAGAAATCTTTGCCTGGTCCAAGATCACAAAGACTTTTCTACTATGCTTTTCTTCAGAAGGTTAATAGTTTTACATTTCTGTTTTTGTTTTGTTTGTTTTTGAGTTGGAGTCTCACTCTGTCGCCCAGACTGGAGGGCAGTGGCATGTTCCTGGCCACTGCAGCCTCGACCTGCTGGACTCAGGCGATCCTTCCGCCTTAGCCTTCCAAGTAGCTGAAACTACAGGCATGAGCCATCACACCCGGCTAGTTTTTTGATTTATTGTAGAGATGAGGTTCCACCAAGTTGCCCAGGCTGGTCTCGAACCCATGGGCTCAGGCAGTCCTCTCACCTCAGCCTCCCAAAGTGCTGGGATTATAGCATGAGCCACCGTGCCTAGCCTACATTTCTGCTTATGGTCCTTTTTTTTTTTTTAGTCAGGGTCCCACTCTGTCATTCAGGCTGGAGTGTAGTGGCATGATCACCACCGATCACAGCCTTGACCTCCTGGGCTCGGGTGATCCTTCCATCTCAGCCTTTCAAGTAGCTGAGAATACAGGCATGCATCACCATACCTGGATAATTTTTTTATTTTTTGTAAAGGTGAGTTCTCACTATATTGCCAAGGCTGGCCTTGAACTCCTAGGCTCAAGTGATCCTCCTGCCTTGGTCTCCCAAACTGCTGGAATTACAGGCATGAGCCACCATGCCCAGCCTGTATATGCCCCTTCTGCGTTACTTTTTAAATATGGTGTGGATTATAGGTTAAAGTTCTTTTATAAAGAAATGAATGCCCAGTTGTTCTAGCACAATTTTTTTTTTTTTTTTTTTTT